GTGTGTGTGTGTGTATGTGTGTGTTTGTGTGAATTTATGCATAGGTGGGCTTCTGTGTGCTTCATGTCTTTAGCGGTACTTTTAGCGGTATTATCTAGTTCGACGTGTGGCGGCTACTTTGCAGTCACCGACAGCTTGTGTAATTTTGCGATTTTAAACCTCAGATGCTCGGGAAATCAGTGGAAAGATAAGGAAGTTACTCTTGTGCTTTTTTACAACGATCGTACCTTGCCAATTTCGACCACATCACCACCAGCAGGTGTTACAGAAGCAGAAACCGGGACTGGATAAGCAGTTGAAGCAGCTGCTGATAAGGCTCGCGCATACTCATCCTCTGCCGTAGACCCCTGCACTTGCACCATACCACTATAACTAAAAAGGACATAGTTTGAACTGGACCCTATGGCTTTCTAACAAAGTCTAGAAAATTTCTGGAAAAAACTATACAGCCAGTGTGAGAGAAGTTTTCACAACAGGCTGATGAACGCCAAAATGGAAAACAGATCGATCTTCTCGATGAATTCGAACGGTGAATTCGAAGACGACAATCACAACACTGACAATGCATAGCAACATGCGAAGGAAAATGGCAGTTTTTACCATTTCCATCACATCTATCGCACAATCCTCTAAAATGATTTGTAAGAACTAGCTATTTTCGAGGATTGTACAGTAAATATGATGGAAATAGATTAACTATGCAAATAAAATTTCAGACAATCAATCTAGATATGCAGCGCGATTCCTAAGCTACCCATGATAATTTAGGGACACCGGTATGTCACAAAAACTAGTACAGAATCCAATGAAAAAAAAGTGTTATATTTTCTCACCCCCGCCCAATTTGTTATTTACTTGTCGCAACATAACATTTGTTATTCTGTGAACATTGTCATTCCTGTAAACAAATGCTATGAAGATAAACAACAGGAAGCAAGATTCCAACAAATGGTGCTGAATCGAAAAAAAAAAACGACCACATATCGTACCACAGGAGATTTGTTGTTTGCGCAAATTACGAAAAAGGTACCAACAGGATAAAAAAGCCTCATGCACGAAGTCAAGATGGTAAATAAACCTGCTAGGCATTGTGGGCAGAGTAAGCTGACTGTAGGCTTGATGCTGGGTCAAACCGGGATTGCTCCAGTAAGCAGCTGCGGAACCGGACATATCTTGTGTTGCTGCTCCATGCACCGTCATCATCTGGGAGTTATCCAGGGGATAGTTGTAGCCACCGGTACCGTCCGAGTACATCATCGATGGTGCTGGCACAGCCGCCGGAACGCCAGTTTGCTGATCGAAGTTACTAGTCTTTGTTGAGCGCACCTGAGACAAAAAAAACCAGCAATATTTGAAATGCAAAATTCAAAAATCTTCGCTGAAAAGAAAAAAAAAA